AAAGAGATTGATATTTACATATGTCAGCTTTTATTTGTGTGCAGAGAAGGAGATATAGTACTCATTCATCGTCAAGTCTTGTTGAGTTTACAAACTTGTCGCTTTGCATTAGAAAAGCTCCAATTTTGTAGGATACCTTTCCACAGAGAATTTTTGTGCCTTTTATTGTTTTTAACCTCCATGCGGTATTTGACAAGGCCATCTTGTAGGTGATTCTTGCAAGTTTTGGTTGAATTTGATAAGTATTCAAAACAAATTATTGAAGGAATGGTGTTCCTGAAGAAAGGTGTGCCTGGATTTTTTTTTTTTTCTCAGAATATAGAGGTTGATAATATCACTCGGAGAATGGGCAAATGATGAACCAGAATGACAAGAACAGTTATACTTAAATTACAAATGTTGCAGCCTGAAACACAAAGCACCAAATATTTGTTGCTAATCCAAAGGCTACTGTAGAAGGATATGTAGTACGCAGCATTTATACATAAATATTTTTTCCTCAAAGTCCCACCCATCAAAGCACTTACTTAATCACATGCTTCACCTGAGAATAAGTAGATTATTAAAGAAAATTCAGGTTCCAAATACATTTAAAGCAAGACAGCTTGCCCAGAATAGAAATGGTATTTTAGCAGAGGTATTTTAGCAGAGGACAGCCTGTGCTACTCATCTTGCTGCATGAACCATGGATTGTGCTATCCTTTTCTCTTGTTTAATATTGTTCCCTCATTAAACTTAAATGTGCCTCAAATGCTGATCTAAATCAGGATGTTACTGCATCTGCTAATTGTTTATTACTTTTTTACTTTGTTTATACTTTTTTTTTTGTTAAGTCTGATTTCTGCTTATGGTTACTGCCAGTCATTCTCCTGCACCATTGCATTCGAACTCGATTATATGAAACATCTTAAAAGAGCTCTTGGTGTTACGTACCAAGAAAAGTGTTATTGCCAAGGCTATGGAAACTCCAGTGGACATGAGCTCAGGAGAGAAAACATCAGACGTGTTCATTCATTCTCAGTTAGAGGGGGAAAGTATATATATATATTTATATATATAGGCTGAAAAGCTGACCGTCATGTCAATGAACACATAGCCCCTCTTTAAGTATTTGTGCAGAAAGGCATGTGAAGACATAACATTTGTAGGATTTAATAGCACAGTATGTTGAGAAGCTCCAGAGTTGAGCTGTGTCCACTGAGGATGCTACATCTCCATACCAAAGACACATTTCCTGGTTCGAGCCTCTTTGATATTCTCAAATCCTTTGTTAGAAAAGAGAAAAACTAAGTTCTGTTAAACTCCACAATAACTGATGTTTTCAAAAAAGTCCTTAAACCTGATTAAAATTCCTGCTCTGCTCGCTCTTCTCCCTACTCTGGGCATCAAAGCCCTTTCTAAACTCAGACTCTTAGAAAGCAAAAGCTAGAAGGCAAAAATCTTGCTTTCTAATTTTCTAATGATTCCTTGAACAACCATGTGCAATGGAGATAAACACAGAAGGTATACTGAGAAGTCAAAAACACATTTAGGCATGTGATTTAAGACAGTGTCTTAAATTTCTTTGTCATGATGACAGACTTGTAAATATTTAGTTTATACTTGTAATACAGAGGAATATTGTTAGTGTTTGTGTTTTATGCTATTAGGGTATAGCAGTGCCATATTTCTACGTAAGTTTTGCAAACATGAAAAAAGGAAAAAAAAAAAAAACTTTCCACATTTTCCTACTACCTTCTGTGCTTGGGAATTTGAAAATCTAAGATGAAAATTATATGGGATACAGTTACCTGTGAATGAGCTTTGAATGTAAATAAAAATAACATATTTGTTGTAATAGAGGGCAATATCAGTGGAAAGGCATGAAAACCACGAAACCATTCCTAACAGCCTAGGTAAATGAATGCTCATTGTAGTATTGTTTTGAAAGACTACAAACAGGTACAAATGTTTTCTTTTTCAAGACTACACAAAGCCCTCTTCATTAAAGGAAAAGGCAAAATAACGAAAGATTGGATGTGTGACTGGGTAAACAGCAGAAGAGATGCTGAGACATGCTTCAAAAAGAGACAGGAGGAATTAAACATTCTGGAATTGAACTGTTCTGATCAAAGATGATTCTTTCTCCTCTTTCTGTTATGGCCTACTAACAGCACTACTAGATATAGTGGTGTGGATAGTATACGGCACCACTGTGGACAAGACAGAAAAGAGACAGGATTGAAACAGAGGAGGGGGCTCAAACAGGGATTCACTTGGGCATCTTTTCTTCTGTTTTCAGTACGTTAATGAATCTAAAACATATTTTTATAAGATAAAGAATATTGATATTTGAAGTTCTAGGAAAATGCAAAGTACTGACAGGTAAAGGTTTTAGCACATCTGAATCTAAAGTATGTTTATATACATATCAGAGTGGTTGTCTCTGAACCACTAATATAATACAAAGTTTCACTAATTTGAGATTTTTTCCCCTTTTCTTCCCACCCACAAAGAAAGGATCAGACAGGCAGTTTTTACAGGGAATTAGATTTACTTTGTTATGAGAGCATGTCATACCACCACCATCTGTTGGGAGATGGGGGAAGACATTGGGAAGGCAGAAGGTAAAAGTCAGGCCTATACATTTGTTCATATGAACTGAATTTGTACCATGGCTGTGTATTTTTATTTATCAGGAAATAATCTTTTAACTCAAATATCTTATTTTACAGCCAAGGTATTGTTTTCAGTTGTGTCTAGAAACAAATTTCTCAGAGTTTCATACTGATTTTATCACCTCATTTAAAGATTCTAGAACAGACATTATACAATACAATAAAGAGCACAGAAGAGACATGTGGCGAAGGAGGTGGATTATCTTCTTTTCTATCTTTTTAAAACATTCTATCTGTCAAAGCAAGAAAGCAGTAAAGTGTTGAAAGATACCACAGTTGCTGCAGTTTCTCTATTTAAAGAACAATCTCAGGCATTCTGAAACTTGCAAGAGCTTTTTGCTTAGTTATATTTCTTTATTACTGTAAAACAGCTTTTTATTTCTGTTAATTTTCTCCTGCAAAACTTCAGATTTCATTTATTGATGGCTCCTGATGGAGGGCATAAAGTTTTTTAGCTCTTAATTGTAAATATCTTGCTTGTCACCATTCTTTCTGCCACTGTATTGAATTTGAAAGCATACCCCGGAGCAGAAAATTTAGCCAAGTTTAGCATCTAATTTCTCATCACCTTCAGTGGTAATGCTGTCAAACACAGTCCACTCAGTCTTACGTAATTTATTTTTTCCAGCTAAAATATTCCAACTCAACCTGTTTATTTTTATTCAGGAAATTCAGAAATAACATCCTGCCCTGTCTTTTAGGATTTCCCATGTTTGGAAGGACCTCTAGAGATCTCTAGTCCAACCCCCCTGCTCAAGCAGGGACACCTAGAGCACATGGCACAGGGTGACATCCAGGCGAGTTTGGAAGATCTCCAGAGAAGGAGACTCCACAACCTCTCTGTGCAGCCTGTGCCAGGGCTCTGTCACTCTCACAGTGAAGAAGTTCTTCCTCATGTGGAGGTGGAACTTCCTGACACCTGTTACCCCTCATCCTATCATTGGCCACCACCAAGAAGAGCCTGGCCCCATCCTCCCTACAGTCACCCCTCAGGTGCTTGAAAATGTTGATGAAATCTCCTCTCAGCCTTCTTTTCTCCAGACTAAACAGACCCAGCTCGCTTAGTCTTTCCTCATATGACAAATGCTCCCATTCCTTAATCATCTTCATGGCTCTACACTGGACCCTCTGCTGGCAACACTCCTCCTGATGCAGGCCAGGATCCCATTGGCCTTCTTGCCGCATAGTTATCTTGTTGTCAACCCGGACTCCTAAATCCCTCTCCTCGGAGCTGCTTTCCAGCAGGTCAACCCCTAATCTGTACTGGTGCCTGGCGTTATTCCTCCCCAGGTGCAGGACCCTGCACTTGTCCTTTTTGAATCTCAGGAGGTTCCTCTCTGCCCAACTCTCCAGCCTGTCTAGGTCTCTCTGAATGGCACAGCACAGCCCTCAGGAGTGTCAGCCACTCCACCCAGTTTTGTATAATCTGCAAATTTACTGAGGGTGCACTCTGTGCCCTCGTCTGTCCGCTCATCCAGTCCACACTTCCTAAGCTTTCCTGTGAGTATGTTATGGAAGACTGTGTCAAAAGCCTTGCCGAAATCAAGGTAGACAACACCCACGGCTCTCCCGTCGTCCATCCAGTCAGTCACCTCATCGTAGAAGGCTATCATCAGGTTCATCAGACACGAATTTGCCTTGGTGAATCCATGCTGACTACTCCTGATCACCTTCTTTTCCTTGACATACCTAGAGATGGTCTCTAGAGATGGTCTCTAGGATGAGCTACTAGCTGGTTGAGCTGGATGTTTTAAGATGAAGTAAGTTATCCACAAGTCTTCTGAGGAAATGCAAAAAGAGAGGATGTGTAACCATGCACGGACATAAATGTGCATATGTGGTGGAGAAAAAGCATATATCTATTTAAGTCTTCTATATATCTATATGGTATTGTGCCTGCCTTTTACTTTATGTCTTACCTCTATGATGAATAAACTGTAGCTCCATGTATTGCATAAATATCTTCTTACAAATTAGGAGGAAAAAAGGTGAAACTGGATTCTTAGCAAAAGCTTAAATGAGATTTTATTTTAAGCTATCATATTCTCATAGTGGTGTGTTGTGAATATTTCAAAGGGTCCCTTCATGAAATGTCATTTGTCTGAGGCAAGATGTGGATACTAGTGTGTAAAGAGGTGTCTGACAATGGGGAAAAAATCAATTCTATGGGTCTTAATATTCTGTCTAAATATATATAGTTTCAGGAAAACAAACAAACAAAACTATGAATGTGCAAGTTGTTAAACTCATGTCATGGAAAAGACTATACAGAAGTGAATAATTATCCTTCCAGCTGAATGACTGACTGACTTACAATTTATTTTCTTTTACATTACTTTGCAGTGACTCAAGGTGGGGATGCAGTCGCATCTGATGCATGTCCTGATCCTGGAATTCCTGAAAATGGGAAAAGGGTGGGCTCTGACTTCAGGTAGGCACACTTAATTTTTTGTATCACCAAGAAGAAGATGCTTATTTGTAGAGCATCCAACCCATGTTGGACTCATGTTGGCATTTCCCGCACATCCTCAATGTTTGGCAGGTCTAATGGCATTTGTGAATTGGAAGGGGATAGGAAGAAGACTCGGCTTTCGACTGTGACAGAAATGGAAATTTTAAAAATTTTAGAAAGATTAGTTTGGAAGAGAAAGTGCTCTAAAATAATTTTATTTTTTATTTTAAAATTAAATCAATAAATAATTATTGAGTGGTCTAGATAGAAATCTCAATAACACAACTTTTGACCCCACCAGAAAAGGCAGATCCAAACATGTGAGTCCAAACATGCCTAGCAGTAAAAAATCTTTTGAGTACCTGAAAATCTCAGGAAGATATTTTTTTCTAATGTTCTAATAAAAAAAAAAAAACATTAAATCTCAACGTCTGTTTTAAGGTATTTACTGGCATCTAAGATTGAGGAATCCTGTAAATCATCCGTAACTGTATTTTGAACACAGTCTCTTAGGAATGAATGTGAGTTAATGTGAACTTAAATGTCTGGAACCTATTTATGGCCAACACTTAATCAGTTGTCAGAATAAGGATAATCCCCTCCTTCTTTTACTCCAATTAGCCTTTAATTTCACCTGATGTTGTATTTCAGTGTTTATGGTGATAAATGAATGTGTAAGATGTTCAAATAATAATATCAGCAATGTCCTGTAAGATAAATAAAGCCTGTTAATATAATTTAATCACTATTATTTATCTCCCTGCATTATATCCCTATTTTGTCCTCTATTTTTAAGTATTATTTGAGAGAAGGAATAAAATCGTATTTTGCTCGTAAACGTTTTTATCTGAAAATAGTTTGTACAGCAGTAACTTTCTTCCTTACACTAAAACTAATTCTTAATTATATATAGCTAGCTTGAAGCTTAAATAGAGAATTCAACTGGAGTTTAGTTTTTCTTTATCCAAAATAGCAATTAAAGTTTTCTGTCTTAAAGGAAGAAATAATGCTGCTGTTTACATTTCTCCAAAGTGGAGAAAATAAACACTCAGTGAAGAGTGGAGAGTAAAAGAAAGGACATGTTTCTTCTTCTTTTTTTTTTTTTTTTTTTACCCTCATTTCCTTTAAGAGTTATGTAAAGACTCCCGAAGGAGCTATTGTTCTTGTCAGGAGAATAATGCCTGTGGATATTAATCGTAACTAAAACATCTGAAAATACACATTATTCAAAAGCTTTTCCACTCTACTGAAAGGCTTGTAGTGAGTGAGATTGATGGAAAGACAGAAGGTTTATTTTCAAGTCAGTCTGAGACCCTACAGATTCAGTGATGACAGGTCCTTTGAAAGGGGGTTCATTTTCCAGCATAATAATAGCATTTATTCAAATATCATGAAGCTAACAAAAATATATTGAAATGTTAACCTTTTAATTCCCTTCTCTTGCCATGCTTTTCTACTTTCAGTTCAGGTAGTAGTGGATGTGGTTTTCAGTGATTTCAGACAAGCCTACAGATATCTGGATTCAGTGTGAGGGAGAAATGGCTACTGAAACTTTGCAGCGATGATGAGAATATAATCAATGTGATTTTGATTTGTATCACATTTTATTTTTGGTGCTTCTCAAAGTAATAGTTTTTAATTAAGTGTGGAATGGATATATACAATACTATTTCTGCTGTCAGATATTACGTGATACATATGATATGGTGAAAGGGCCCTAATTTTCCACAATTCCACTTTTAAAAAAAAAAAATTAAAAAACCCTTTTAAATTAAATGTATTTCCTTTAGCTTAGAATCTATTAGATTTTTTTTTAGTATAATATAGTATTCGATTAGATTTTTTTTTCTTTTTTTTCTCTTTAAACATGGTTAAGTTCAGTCAAGTCCTCACCTTCTTTATTAAAACAGAATTTTTGATTTGATTCAAATTTTAGTTCATAATTAAAATGGAAGAATATGAAGAAGAACATGAAGAAGAAAAAAAAAGGGAAAGTCATTTCTTCCGCCCTGTTTAAAATATATTTTTAAGAATACAGGATCAGAACTAAGTCTTTCAGTGTGCGCAGTGCCATTCAGTGGCAAGGGGAATAAAGATAGGAATTAAAGAAATTAAAAGCATTAATTTACAAAATGGGTTGAATTAATAAATTCCTTTGAAATTTCATATCAAAGTACTTTCTTTCTTAAAGTGCCATTTTTTAATTGAAAAATATCAAGCAGAAAATCGTGGGATTAGGTAATTCAGAACTTGTCCTCAAGGGACAAGGACTCTTAATACAAACTCTGTGGCCCAGTTGTATCCCATTCCCTGAGATCTTATTTGAAATAAATCTGTTTGTTTGAAATATAAACAGTTAAGGTGATTCAGCTCACCTAAAAATTTCATTATTGATTATTGTTCTCTAAAATACCTAAAAGTATGTGTCTTCATTCAGCTATCTGCAGAGTATGTGTTATAGAATAATTTTATATCCGCACATCTTTCGTTATTCAGTCTTCATTCCATCAAAATAATAGACAAACAAAAGTTGCCAAAGTAGGAAAACAAGCAAAAAAGAAACAGCTTAAGGTCATGTTTTCTTGATGTTGTCTTAGAGGCATTTCATTTATGGATGTGAGTTTTACAGTCTGTTAGATAGAACTTGACATTTAAGCTTACTTTATCAGTTATTTGCAAAAAAATTAATTCCTTTTCTTATGTACACAATAACACAATAGTCCATACCTCCATTCTGCAGAATTTAGTAGCTTCTTCTGGAATATCTTTTGAATATGGCTTTCGGTATTTTTATGTTTGTCAGACGTGGTAGAATTAAAATGACATTAAAATGCTTTTCACAAAGCGTCAGTTGTCATACTCCTGGCAGAAATCCGATGCTTCAACAATAGCTGCTCCACAAAGGATGCCGCCAAGCTGGTATTCAAGCCCACTTAGTGCGTAGCGTCCCCATGTTCAGCACTGTCTCAGACATTCCGGTAGCGTCTCTGAGTGCTACTCTGCAGCCTAGCTGAAGTTTTATCAAAAATCCTGAAATAACATTGTCATATTTGTCAGTTCTCAGAGTTGTTATTCAAGCTTTTTTCCACCTTTAATTATAACCCTGAGTAGCTTTTGAGTTGTTTTCATTCCCACCTTGTTCTTTAAATTCAACTTAGCTTGTGCTAACTATATACTTATTTATATATAATACGGTCAGCATAGTTTATTTAGTCTCAGTTTGTGATAAAACATTTCAAAAGATTGTGTTAATTGTGTAAAATATATGAAGTTCACGTTATTTATTTTTAGATATATGTTGTTTTAGGAGCTTTGGAAGAAAATGCTATAAAATATTAATAAAAATGTAGCATTGTAATCGCATGGATTAACTTAATAAGTAAAATAAATATATCAGTTGAGGATTCATATTTTTAAAATGATGTGATTATGAAAACACCTGTTCTAATCCTGAAATCCTTCACTTAAGAAGATTCAGACTATCTGTCTTCCATGTTTTTTTGCCTTTTTTTTTTTTCCTTCTGAGGAAATAGTAAAGTATGACAAATTAGGAATTGCAAATCCATATTTCATATCAGTTGTTTGCTTTATTTTTATGTGGGTGCCCAATTTTTTAGTACTCTTTAACATCATAATATTAGCCAACACAAAAGTTTAGGGAAAAGTTGAAGTTTCCATCTGGTTCACACATCGTTATATTTTAGAGGAAAAAATAATCCAGTATGATTTTTAAAGGCCTGTCTCTGGTTCTCGCAGCTAGGTAACTTTTGATTTGTCACATCTGGGTAACTTAAAATAATAATAATAAAAAATGCTCAGAGTTTATTTTGTTTATATATATTTTATATATATGTACATATATGTATAAAAACAATTGCATTTCAAAGAAAGGTATTCAGAGCATTAAAATGTCCAGATGAAGACATCTAAATATTACCTATACAATAACCTCTAATTGAAAGTAAATGTTAGGTATGCATTTATACTGGTGCTTAGTCTACCTTTCACCTGAAGATATTAAGAATATACAGAAGGATAATATTGTGGCAAGTATAAAATAAAGAAATAAAAAAGAAAATTATTTTATTCTGCAAGATTTTTATGCATTTCTCATGAACTACTGAAAGAAAAGGCCGGTGCTTTTTCCACCATTCTGAACTTGTTGCATGTAACAACACAAGCATCAAGCACTAATGGAATTAATTTTTTTAAAGACATCCCAGATTTGTATAATCTCATTCAAACTTTAATCTCATTCAAATTTTAATACTGTTTTGGAAAGCCCTGTTTCACATACACTTAGTTCACTGTATACTGTATACTCTACATAATAGTTGATCAGTACAGTTCAGTAAGAAATTCTTTGAAAAATGAAATAAAGTTATGAAACATTCCACAGAGCAAAATTTAAAGTTTGAAAATAAATTTAAGGTGACATTATCATTATGCTTTTGCAAAATATTTTTGCAAAACATTTTTGCTTTAGTAAGCTTCAAATATGTTTTAACAATAAGTGTAACAATGATATTTAAATCCCTTTATTACTAAAGCTGATAAAGATTTTATCAGGAAATTTCAATGAAGCTGGAAGTATGCCTTCTTATATACAGGATATTTCAATTCTCTCCTCCATCGTCCTTTTATTCTGCTAGGGTGGGTGCGAGTGTGCAGTTTTCCTGTGAAGATAATTATGTGCTGCAAGGTTCGAAGAGCATCACTTGCCAGAGAGTGACAGATACACTGGCTGCCTGGAGTGACCACAGGCCAATTTGCCGTGGTAAGTGCATTCAGTAGAATTTTTGCTGAAGTTTGAAAGCGTAACTTATAATTTTTGTTTAGAAATGTAATTGAAGGATTTCTGAAATGCAGCAAAAACCATAGTAACGTCATATGTATATTCAAAGATCCTTGTGTAGCATAAGAAGTTTTAAAAAAGCTGATAAAGGTGCATACATATCAGTTTAAGGAACTAATTTCCATTTAGTAGTGTACTATTGTCATATTAAATATGTTCTAATTAGGATCTGCTTAGGTTGTTAGCTATGCTTAGGTTAAACTATTCTAAATGAAGTCTTGACATTCTCACACAGTATACGCTTTTTGCTAAATTCATGCTAAATTGCTAAATTATGCACATGTTTGCATAATGTCATTTTCTTAGGGCTATTTTTAATGCTGTTTAAATTTGCATCAAGTGGAAGTTAAGAGATATGCCTTTGATGACAGGATTACCTTTCTTGCAGGTATATTTTTTTTTCTGAGAATCTAATCTACATGTTCTCCTGAGATCACAGTGGAATTTCATGCTGAAGAAATATAAATTAACCAACATTTCTTCCAGATTACATGAAAAAAACTTAAATATTATTCACATGTAACACTACTTAAGCATGCTTATTTGCACAAAAATTTTGCTAATGTTTTTCCAGGTTAAGTGCATTTTGTACTGAGTGTATTAAGGGGAAAACAATTTTGATAGAAGGATTATTGTAGTGCATTTCCCAATGCATTTCTCAGTGATGTAAGCTGACCAGCTGCAGCTGGTTTAATACAGATAATTTTCTTTTACTTGAATTTGGATGACTTTTGGCATAGCTTTAGAATTGTTCTTTTAGAAATAAAGGAATTTATTCATCTGTTGGAACTCATTGTTCGTCTTCAGAACAATACAGTCATCATACTATAACGTAAAAAGCTTTACAGGAGGGCACTAATGCTCGTTCCTGAGAAGTCAGCCACCATAACACTGGAGAAAAAAGGTATATTTTTCCTGCTGCAAGAATGGTTGTTTAAATTGTGTGATGACATAAATGATGTTCTCGCAAATTATCCTTACTATTGCAAGCTATAAAACATGGATCATGTTAAATAGCATGCCAATATAAATGGACAATCTAAATGGACAATCTAAAATATAGAAGGAAAGAAAAAATTAAATGTATTCGCTTGTATTCAAGGTTACACCTAAATGAAAAATCTAAATACATCTTCTTAGTATTTGATTTCACACTACTATGAAGTAATGTGTTCATAAAACTGCATCGTTCACTTTCCTCCCACTCTTGTTGAATTTATTGTTGTTTGCTAATATATTTCAAAAATAAGCTGAAATAATCTATGCATGGCTAAAGTAACGCTCAGCTGAAATGGGCTATTGGCTTTTGAATTATTTGTGTGTTATTATTAGAGTTAGCTGTTCCTTCCAATATATTATATTCAAATCTTCATTATGCTTTATTCCCTCCAGTAAACAACTAACAAAACAGGATATATTAGTCTGACATCTCTATTAAAATCTCATTCCCCAAAAAAAAAAAAAAAAGAAAAAGAAAGGTAGTTTGCTCAACTGTACTTTCAAAACTGTAGCTAAACTTTCAACTTCAGATCTTGACTGCAATATGTTCTAAGGAGACCTGGGAGAGGAGTCCTGGCTTTTTTTTCCCTAGTGTATGGCTAGAGAAGATAAGGTACAAACTATATTCAAAGGCTTGTTACCATCAGGTTGCATCTCTGCTTTAGTGCCTGCTGTTGCAGACTTTCTGCAGGACTAATTAATTATAAATTAATAAGTAATAATTGTCTGCTATTTGAGATGCTAGAGATTTCTACCGGTTGCTGGGGTGAGAAAGCTCTTTCAGATTGCATGTGTCTGCTCTTGTTATTATAGTAGTTGAGAGAATATATTTTGCTGGGTAGATACATACCAAGTTTCTGTATAGCTAATAAGTAGCATATAGTGATATATTTGGCATGAAGGGTTATGTTTTTCCACATCAAGTGCATGGACAGCTTTTTAATGTTCCCCATTGATACTTCGGTAGGATTACCCATGCGGATGGGGGTTTTTTTGGCCTTCTGCTGAGAGAGGTCATTAAGGAAGGTTTAAATATGATGTCTAAGATGTAATTGAAATTCATGGAACTGTACTAAGACAGTATCTGCCATAAAGATAGCCAGACATTTTCACAGAAAACATTTCAGTGAGGTAAGGAAATTATTCCATTCTTCAAAATGGAGGCAGGTACAGAAAACAAAAACAAAACAAACAAACAAAAAAAAACCCAGAGTATAATTTTCCAAATCATCAGAATTACATTAGCTGCTTTAGTCCAATTTTCAGGAAAAGAATGAGTAAGTTTTCCTGAGGCATTCCACTACCAGCACTGAATCTTGTGTAAAGGAAGAGTTTGACTTCCCATCAGAAGTTAATGGGAATTATGCTAATAAATTTCGAAATTCAGGTATTTAAAGACTGGCATGTATCTAAGTAGTTAGAAATGGTGTGACCTGGACTGTTGGTTTTAGCATCTTTAACTAAGACAACAATTAAGTAATATAAATAAATGTTAGGTTGATTAACAGAAAAATCATAATTTCCATGCTCTGTAGATCACTTCTCAGGATTTTTCTGACTGGATGAAACTCCTTCAAAGGCAGACTGTAACAGAATATATCAGCATAATGTTTTAATTATTTCACAAGAAGTAGTTGTTTAGCAATTGTATGGTGATTTTGCAAAGTTTACTAAGAAGTGTGTAGTGTAAAAAGCCATTGGTGAAAAGCATATGACTTGATGTTTGTCATTTTAGCTAGAACATGTGGTTCTAATTTACGTGGACCAAGTGGAATTATCACCTCACCAAATTATCCAGTCCAATATGAAGATAATGCACACTGTGTGTGGGTCATTACAACAGTTGATCCAGAGAAGGTAGGCTTTTTGTCTTTGTCTCAGTTCAAATAGTGGATTATTTTCTTTTAATTGTTAAAAAAATCTATGCTTGAATAAACATGTGAACACATTGAAGTCTCTGTATTCATCCAAACACAAAAATGACCAAAACAGCTAAAAATGGAGATTATTCATACCAGTGAAAATGTCCACTCAAACTAGTAGGTTTTGACTAACAGGTCAAACGTACAGCCTTCAAGTTATAAGTTAACTAGTCCTTATTTGATTTTCTAAGACAGTATGTTTTTTATAAAAGGAAAGCTAATTGTGCATCAAAAGAAAATATGTTAAATTACTACCGAGAGAAGAGAGTCTTAGCACTTTGGCTTAAAACTGATCCTATTTCCATTTTAGATTTCTTCCTTTGACTTTTTAAGAATTTTAATGATTTTTTTCTTCACATATATGATAAAATTAAGACAGTAAACTCCTATTGGTTGCAAAATAGTGACTGCTCAGAGGTATATATTAAACTGTATAGAATCTGTGTTTTCTATGGGGTTCTTATTTCTGAAAAGAACAGCATAATTCACCCTACTACAATGATAAGCAAGCTTATTCTTTGAATGTTTCTTCTTAAATGATTAGCATTAGGAAACTCTTCCCTAAAATAATTCATGTTTAAGGAATAAAAAAGTTGTGTATTTCAGGTACTACTCCTTCAAAAATTATATATTGTAACTTAAATTTGACTTAGCAGGTGGACCAAAACATTTTCTTCATCCATGTCCACTGTCATTTGACAAATTGCTTTTAGAATGCTGTGATAGTATATCATGAGAATTACGGCTGGGCATTTCATGTTCCTAAACAGCAGTAAAGGAAGGATTCTGCGTTTGCACAGTGCTTCAATCTCTTTTCATACACAAGTGCAGGATATATCGAGGAATATAAAAATATACAATTCACGTGTGCAGGTTGGAAAAAGTGGTTTGCCTGAAGAAATGCACCTGCTAAAAATACATAAATAATTAAATAAATAAAAATGTGTGTAATGGATGGAATCAAAAGACTGAATAAAATTTTTGACATATTACTTTTTTGAAATTTTCAATTCTTGCAAAGGTGAGGGGATATTTTTAATTGCAATTCAGAGTGAAAACAAATTTTGGATTTCCCACGGGTACAGTAGTGTAGTTCCAGGCTTTTAACCAACCATATCAATGTCATGATTAGTTATACCTTTTTTTTTTTGAGCAATACAAAATTCTAGGTTAAGTTATTCTTCTGTTCAAAGATATTCCTGTTGATGCTCTGCTTATTTTGAAGAGCTGGTTCTTCTCACTTAGCGTATTTGCTTCCTCTGGGTCCCACTGTTGCAAATGTTATTCAGTATCCTACTGAGTCATTTATTAGAGTTTTAGTGCTTGCAAATATAACTTTTCAGTACTCTTCTGACTATTTGTCAAGTATATGGTGTAAGTAAAAAAAAAAAAAAAAAAAAAGTAGCTCTGAGCTGTTTTAGTTCTTCTATTGTGCAGTTTCCAAGCTTTTCTTTTGAAGCCCCACTGATCGTTTGCTGCTCTCTCCTTTTTGCTCTTTCTATAAAATGTTTAGTGAGTTAGCATAGGTCTATCTCTTGCTGTTTCAATTTGTTCTTCCTAGCTGTGCAATTTTTTTCATACGGCTTACTGCCTCGGATTTCCTGCTACTCTCCCTTGCCTTTGGTAACACTACTAGACAGAAGAACTCTAGTTTTCAACTCCGGTGTCTATAGGAGGACAAGATTCACTGTAGTTTCAGCAATGATTCCTCGTGTAACATGTTGTTTTCCTGACTGACTAGGGATTTTGGGATAGCTAGAGAGGGTCCAGAGTTTGCAATGGCTGTGCAAACATATGATGAATTGGAGAGAGAGGTGAAACTCAATTTTGAATAAGATTATCATATGCCTTAGTACAATGTCCTAAGATTGATATTTCTGATTTACTGTTTTTTCTAACATAAAATCGGGGAATTTAAGAAGAACATTATCACTCAGGATGAATTTCCTCAGTTCATAGCTAGGGAATCCAAAAACTGTTAAAGTTTATTATTTTGAGATAATTCCTTCTGAGAGTCCTTCCTGTTATATGTTCTAAAATAGAAATTTTACCAACTAGAATAGGCAAATCTTATGTATTGAGGTTACCTTGCTGATTTGTCAATTGGTAATCTAAATTCATGATAGCTCAGATTTGTTCCATTACTGACCTCTCTGTTTTCCCTTGTACAAAACACATAATTCTGCAGTTCTTGTTTCCGTGCAAGTAGCTTATATGTATGTAAGAACCTACAATGAATTAAGAAGATTTGTTTTTTTTAGATGTTTTCTTCCAATTGGATGGTATTATTGATTTATATTTTTGTAAAGTATGTTCATAAATAGCCTATTCCTTCAAAAATTCATCACAGACAGGCCTCCTATCCCCTTCAAGCACTGGTCAGACCACCCTGCCAGGATGGTTACCAGCATGTAGGTACAGCACCTGCCAGTCTCACATCATACCCCGACTGTGAAAGTCTGTTGCTGAGCAGTAGCCATCCCATCCCTATGGATATAACCAGACGTAACCTAGAGATAACCAGAATGCTGCCCCAGTGATAACTTATATATGTTTATATTCATATATATAAAAATATAAAAAAGTGATTGAAACTGGTGCAAGGACTTTAGTTGTTTTGGTGTTTGAGCTTGGTCCTTTATATTATACTTACATTATATACTGTTTAATTCTAAGATGACATTTTATAATTAATTTCTTATGAATTAAATACCATTGTTCCAGATTTCATTTTTTTATATCTGGTTATTTCTTTAATTTTTTTTTTTAGCAATTTTTATATATAGATTATCCCAATTACCTTGTTCAGTTTTATTGACCCAAGAATGTGCAGGACTGTGTGAATTTATTCTTACACAACAGTACAAGAAGTCATGTTAGCCTATGTGTTGCTTGGACTATGCTCAGTAAAGGCAAATGAGATAATTAAAGATATGAACTAGGAAGTATTATTTGAAATATATTTTTGATGTATATTATTTGAAGCATGAACAGTTCTAGTCAAAAGTAAATCAGGTTCATTTTGCCCTGATTATCTGAAGCAAAAAAACAAACACAGGCCCCTTCAATTTTGAGTGACTACATTCTACTTAATGCTTTTGACTAGTCCCCTTTAACTTTCTACTTCACTATTACTCTTTATTTTAGTCTTTGTTATTTATTTTAGTCTTTGGCCATATTTACACAGGTGCTTTCCTTGAGAGGAAGCAATTTCCTTCTGACCATGAAAATACTATAATCTGACTAGGAAACTTTGGAATAGTTTGTGAGAAAATATAAATAATGAGATATCTGCAATATTTCTTTCACCTTATTTCCTTCACCTCTTCTCAGTTGACTTTTGACTACCGGTTACTGCCTGCTGTTAAATGATAGGGGATAAAACACCTAAATATTTTGGGACATTAATCTTTTTTTTTTTTTTTTTTTTACTGGGACTGTGCCTGCAGTTTTAGAGGGATATGACATGATACACTAAAGTTTCAGTCACTTTTTAGAATTTTCTCACTTCATTGGCTTTTTATGTTCCACTTAGATCCCTGTAAAATGACTAGGATCTCAAGTGTGAAACAAACAAATATTTGTTAAATTCCCACTTGCTGAGAAGCCCTTTGCGTTTTCCCTTCCCTTCCCAATCCTTGCTCTTAGCCTTACCCTTCCCTATCCTTGCTCTTAGCCTTACCCTTCCCTTTACCCTAACCCTTCCCTCCACACTTACCTTACTTAACCTTCGCTTATCTTTACCTTACCTTTACCTTTCTTTACCTTAGCTTCCTTACCTTAGCCGCTTTTCTTGTTATTTGCATAGTCAAGCAGTATAATTTAGAATGCAAAGTGTAACTAAAGTGATTTTATAGGAAAGCTATTGTTGTTGCATGACAATGAGATCATGACTTTCCAGAAGTTCTGAAATCTGGTACAAGACTTCCAGGATAGCCCTGGCTCTATACACATTATGTATTCATCTCAACAGCAAATAACAGAGTTTGTATGTTTTAACATGACATGTAAAATGTATTTGTAAGGAAAATGGAAAAAAAATCAAGTTAGGTATAGTTTATCTTTGTTTGAGTTTGTTTATCTTTGTTTGTTTGTTTGTTTATCTTTGGTTTGAGTTCAAATACATACCCAGAATTCTACATATTTGCAATTAACAATAGATAAATTGCATTTTTTAAAAAAAGTAAGTATTTAAGTCATATTTTGGATTACATTACTTATGTTTTGCGTATGTTTTTTTGTTAATTATATTGATATTTCTATCTTTTAAGATAGTGGGTTGTAGTAACGTAGCTTCTGGGTACTATTTTTTTGTGAAGGGTACTGAAGCTTTTATCGGATGATGCTGTAACAGAATAAAAGACTCAGTTTTTACAATCCAGACATTTAAGATGGAATTCAGTTTGTGCATATGAGTGCTACGTGTCTAAACTCCCAATTAAGTTTGATGAAGAACTGTTCCATATAGCCAGTAGAGCCAAGACAGCTCTTTACCTTATCCACTAGTCTCGTAGTGGCTAATCAGCTACATCAAAGTTTGGGCTTTTACTGGATCAGAACCAAAAGGGCTTAGACATTTTAAATTTAACCCAAAAATGTTTAGTATATATTCAACTTGGCAATTAAATAAAATTCCTTACAGATTGAATGGGAAGGCTGTTATAATCACCAGCCTACCTCATGAAGATGGAAAATATTAGAGTAGGAATACACCAGAGTTCACTAAAAATGACAGAAAGGATCTTGGTTATCTTCTGCATTAGTGTCTCTAATTTCAAATATGGTTCTTTTTGTAAAACTGATATTGCCACATCAAAACTGATTCCTGTATTAGTTTTAGATGTCTCCTTTGTGGACTTGTTACAAGGAAATTTGACTCTCACTTTCTTTAAAAACATAGTTGGAGTTAATGAAGGAAGAGGGAGACTTGGGATC